CTGCTGCCCTCCCCCCCCCCAGGCAAGTCCACGCACGACTCGCACCACCGCACCCCCTACTACCACATCTCCCTGGACCCCCCCGAGCTCGTGGGGGCTGTCGTGGTGCTGGCCGTCATTGTCTTCAGCTGCCTCCTGGGCGGCCCCACCGCGCCGCTGGCGCTGACCGCGTCCTGCACCTACATTGCGATGGTGAGGCGGCCCCTCGCATGCACGCGGCGCCGCAGAGACGCGAGAGCCTGCCGTCGGCTGTACGTGTCTGTTGGAGGTGCTTGCGCCTGCAGGCTGCTGCATAGTTGGCGACGCAGACAGGCAAGCTCTGCCGGCGCCTTTGCGCAGGGCATCGCCTACGAGTGGGTGCATTACGCCGTGCACACGCGCTGGGTGCCTCGCGGGAACAGCCCGACCGCGGTGTGGCTGCGGGGCGTGCGGCGCCACCACATGCTGCATCACTGCAGGTGGGCGGAGGACACGGCACCGCGGCGCGAGCTGCTGATGCGGCACGTAGCTGCAGCCGCTTGCTTTTCTTCCGCCAGCGACAGCCTATCTGTTTCTGCAAGACTGCGCTCTCCCAGCCATTGCCTGAGGCCCGTTCGAGCAGCTGCCTAGTGACGACGCTGCCTGCTGCGCTGGCTGTCGGCCATCCTGCTACCTTTTGCGTCTGCGCCACTGGGCTGACCGCTTGGCGCGCCCCTCTGCTTGCAGGAACGAGAACTTTTGGCTGGCCTTCACTTGCCCTGACGTTGACACGATCTTTGGCACCTTGCCCGGCTCCCCCGACGCGGTGCCCCTGACTCCGCTGGCGCGGGGCACCGGGACGCGCAAGGCAGGCGGCTCGGTGGGCGCTGCCTGAGCAGGACGTGGCGGCGGCTTGACAATCTGTTGCAGGCTCCTGACGTACTCATGTACCAACCCCTGCTGTAGTAATAAATTAGGAGTTGTAACAGAATCACACTTGCTCTGACCACTGCACAGACAAGTGAGGTCGCTGAAGTGCGCAGGATCGTACGAGCGGAAAAGTAGTACAGAGTAAAGATGCAAGTACGATGGAAAAGTATTTATATCGCTCAGATCTGAAAAATTCAGTTGATGTATCTGTAGGGTCCTCTTGGACGGCCGGCAGGTGCGCTGCGCAGCTGCGGTCGCGGCTTTTGACCGTACATTAAAGCATTTGTTGCGGAGCATCTGGAGTCTGTTGACAAGTGCAAAGCTTAGCAGACGCGCACGGATCATCTCACACACAAACCCATCTTCTGCAGGCGCGTCTACTGTAATTGTGTAGATATACCCGGTCGCCGCATGCACCCACTGGTGAAAGGTCGAATACTGCAGGGCGCCTAGAGTGGTCACCAACGTAGACACCGCACACGGCAGAAATGTGTGTGTCAGCATGCCTCATGTTCCGTCTGGGGGGCGCACCCGGCCGCTGGCGTGCTTGGGAGCGCTGCTGTAGACCAGTCAATGGGTGACAAGTGCGACTCAGCATTTGTGAAGCGCTCCCTCAACAGAGTCGCTGCGACGGGCTTCTATATGCCGGAATTCTCAACGTCAAGTCGAATCGCTTCATTGTTTGAACAACGCAGCTTCGGTGCTGATGCCGCAGTGCTGATCTATCTAGTGATCTGCGACTGGATAGTTGCTCATTGAGGGAGCGTTGAACCAACTAATAATCTACGACGCACGCGACCATGCAGGCAGCGCCGGGCCTCCAAAGGCCCAGGCTAGTGGACATTGCGGGGCGCGCCTCTGTCGGGAGGTCGTGGGCGCGCTATGCCGGAGTGTGCACCCGATCTCGCTTGGTCCTCCGGGCAGCAGTGGAGTCAGCCACAGCTGGGATCCATCACGACCCGACAGAGCTTGTCGGGGGGACGCCAATGGTGGGCCTGTTATACCCGGGAAGCAGCATATGCGAGTGCATATGAGCTACGATGGCCCATGGACGCGAGCGGTGCCCCGTGCAACACAGGCTGCACATGTGCTCGTGGGCTGCGCGCACGGTCGTGCGCACATCGCCGCTGGCTGCACCAGACGGCGCAGCCATCCCACCGCCACCGCCCGCCATGCTGCAGGTCTTCCTTAACAGCGTCACCCGCTCGGGCTGCTTCGCCCAAATCGCGGCCAAGCTGGAGATCATGGAGCCATGCTCATCCGTAAAGGACCGCATTGCGCTGTCGATGATTGAGAACGCAGAGCGGGAAGGCCTGATCAGCCCCGGCAAGACCGTGCTGGTAAGTGGCTGAGCTCTTGGCTCTCCAAAGGACGGCCATCACGTACATCACGCAGCCTGTGGGCGAGCACGCTTTTAGCGTATAGAATCGGCTGCACACCTGCTCACTGTTTGGGCGCAATATACTGCCAATGTTGCACTGCTGGGCATGGGGCAATCGCCTACCGTTTGTGGTCGGCCGTGTTGCGAGAACCTGGCGCAGCTGCTATGACAGGCTCCTAAAACATGGGGGACGAGGGCCGTCTCAGGCACCGGCTTACCATTCGGCCAGCGCACACGCAATCAGTGGCCCAGCACAGCGTCATGCACCACCACAGCTAAGTACGCACGCCTTTTGCTCAACTTTGGCAGATCGAACCCACCAGCGGCAACACTGGCGTTGGCCTAGCGTTTGTGGCGGCCTGCAAGGGTTACAAGCTGGTGCTTACCATGCCCGACACCATGTCCATAGAGCGGCGCGTGCTGCTGCAGGCGTTTGGGGCGGAGCTTGTGCTCACAGAGGGCAAAAAGGTGCGGCACAGGGCCAATCTGGGCGAGAGGCTGAAGTTCAGGGCTTAAACCAGGGAAGCAAGGGCCTGTGCAGCTGCCTGGCTGGTCCGGCTCAGCAATTGCGCCGCTCGCAGTCGCTGCTTGTGCAAGCCCTTTGTTGGTGGCTTTCCGCGGCGCTGCGGGCGGCGCCGCCTTCGCCGGCACGGCCGCCGCAGCGGCACAACCCCACGCAGCCGCTGATGGGCCATCCCTCCCTGCCCCAAACCAACGACGCCTAGGGCATGACGGGCGCCATCCGCAAGGCGGAGCAGATGGTGGCGTCCACGCCGGACGCCTATATGCTGCAGCAGTTTGACAACCCCGCCAACCCGGCCACCCATTACCGCACCACCGGCCCCGAGATCTGGCGGGACACTGCCGGCAACGTTGACATCCTCGTCGCAGGCGTCGGCACGGGCGGCACCATTACAGGTGGGCAGCTGCACTGGGCTGGTTCAGGCTCGCGCAAGCAAGGGGGGCAGCCGGGGGCTGTACGCTACCCAACTGCATGGAGCCAGCATGAGCACGCTGGAAGCAGCCGTGCCGATCCCCTCGCGCCTACTCTTGTGTAATTCAAGCGCACGTGCGCCATCTGGTCCCTCGCTGCTGTCCTTCACCCCACTTGACGCCAGGTGCTGGGCGATTCCTCAAGGAACAGAAGCCGTCTGTGCAGCTGGTGGCAGTGGAGCCCACAGAGTCGGCCGTTCTCAGCGGCGGCAAGGTGCGGCCACTGCGACTGGCTTTGCTTAAGGGACAGAAGGGGCAGCAGCATCGGGGCAACTGACAGCGGGCTGCACGCGCCGTGAGCGACCGCCGCCGATGCAGCAGCAGCCCTGACAGCAGACCGGGCGGGGCGCGCCTGCAGGTGCGATGGCCATGGACTTACATGCCTCGTTGCCCACCTCTCGTGCCCCCATCTCTTTAGCCCGGCTACCACCAAATTCAAGGCATTGGGGCAGGGTTTGTCCCCAAGGTGCGTAACCGCCATGCAGGGCCCTGGGGCTCTCATGCAGAGGGTGGAGCCACCAGCGGGCCACGAATCAGCACGGAGCGAAGGCATTCTGCATGCGTGATGCATGCCAGCGCTGCGCTGACGCATGTCAGTGCAGGCCCAGCACATGGATTGCATGCAACACAAATCCACCACGCGCCAGCGCATTAGATCAGTCTTCCGTGCCCCTGAGCATACACACACGCCTCCCACAAATTGAACCCACCGATTGGCGCCGACCCCAGGTGCTGGACGTCAACATTCTGGATGAGATCATAAAGATCAGCAGCAAGGAGGCGGTGGAGATGGCGCGGCGCCTCGCCCTGGAGGAGGGCCTCCTCTGCGGCATCAGCAGCGGCGCGGCCGTCGCGGCTGCGCTCAAGGTCGCCCGGCGCGCGGAGAACAAGGGCAAGCTGATCGTGGCGGTGCTGCCCAGCTTCGGGGAGCGTTACCTGTCAACGGTGCTGTTCAACACGCTCTGGTCCTTTGACGCGGACGCGGAGAAGAGCATGCCGAACTCGTGGCGCCAGGTGTCGGGCGCAGAGCGGCCGACCACGGTGGAGCCGAAGCTCTGAGGCGGCGCGGTTCCAACGTACGCCTTTCGACGGGCGCGCTTGCGCGGCCTTTGCCGCTGCCCTTGCATGCATTGTTCTGTTGTTTGCGCCGTGCTTCACATTCGCTCGGCTGCGATTGCTGTGTACTTTGTATTGACGCTCTGCGGCCGGTTCTGAGGGGCAATGCTCTGTGTTGGCTCAAGGCTCTCTCTTTGCAAAGCCTGGACGTTGTCCCTCTCCGGCTAGCCATCCACTATTTTGTTGCTACACACAATTGTGCTTGTAAGAATTCCAGCGCACGCAAAAACAATCCTGATCATGCAGAAGTGCGGTGGGACGTATGGCAAGGCGCGTGCCAACGGCAGTTGGCACGCTGTACGCGCTCTGGGCACCACGCGTCTGACAGATGGTGCAGCCCCTCTACGGTGCACCTCCGACTGCAATGTGGGCATCAGTAAAAGCAATCACGTCCTGTAGGGGCAACACAAGTGGCGTAAGGCTCAATTTTGGAGTTGGCGCCGGATTCCCGCGTCGAAATTTCCTGCAGAAACTCCATCGCCTCCAGGACATAAAGCCACGCACCCGCAATTGCTTTTAAATACTTTCATTTAGGTACATCGCAGATTGCATTCATTGCATCGATCAGTTTGCACGAGGCGTCTTTGCACCGAGACTTCGGGCTGGGAGTCCGACATCATATCCCGCCCCGCTCCAAAGATGGCACCATCTTGTAATAACACTGCTTATGCAGCCGTGTTATTGCTGCTTGCTCTCAGCGCACGCGCTGCAGCGGACGGCGGGTGGACCTTTGGGCGCTCTACCCACTAGTGAGCCGGGTGGCACATGCCCCAACGCCCACCCCACCGCTGCCCCCCAGACCCCTAACAGCGTGCAACGACAGCACTCGCAAGGCCTGTAGAGCCATGTGCTTTGCATCGCCGCCTGTCTGACGCGCTGCACTGCTGCCCAATTCCAGGCTGACGCTCCCGCCCTCCCGCTATACGCACCCCTGGCCGTTTCAAACCACCCCTCCCCCAGCGGCAACGATGGCGGCAGCACCGTCCATCAAGGCAGCTGCATGTTTGGGGTGCGTGCACGGAGCGCCGCAGCCATGCGCGTGGGGGGCATCGCCATGCGCATGCGCACGCTCGCATGAGCTCGGCATGTTCGCCACAACCCACGTGCAGCTCCTGCCGCCCCGACAAGCGCAGGCACGAGCCTATGACTCCTATCTGCATAGCCGCCATGACGCTGATGCCCTGCACTAGACACCAAGCTCACAAGCTCTGGTCAAATTCAAATATTCCGCCAGTTTACGTCTTGTCTCATAAGAACTGCGCCGCCCCACCTTGCACAGTACCTCGACCCCAATGCCGGCACCGGCTGGGACATCGCCGCCCTCTCAGATGCTGACCCCGAGTACTCTGGCAGCTGCGGGCGCTGCTATGAAGGTAGGTGGGTGGGTGGGACAGCCAAGATGTCGGCCGCGCCTTATGGGGTCAGGGAGCGGCTGCCCATGGGCGAGTGCACGCACCACATGTGAACACGAGTGGGGCGGGGCTACTGACGCTCTGGCTGGCTGTGCGCTCGTGCGCCCCGTCTACAATGTGAATGCGGCCATCATGCATGCATGTATGCATGCATACGTGCATGCGCATGCATGCATGCATGCATGCATGCATGCATCATGGCCTCATGCATGCTTGCTTGCTTGACACCATTGTTTTTGTGCTGGCCGCCAAACCCAGTGCCCATCCCTCACTGCCAAAGCTCACCCCACGCAGCTCCCAACCTCGACCTCAACCCTCAACCTCACCTCGGCCTCGCAGTGGCCTGCGTCGACAGCAACGTGCGCGACGGCTACGGAAACGAGGTGCCGCGCAGCAGCGCCTGCTATGACACTTCCAAGACCGTGAAGATCATGATCACCGACTCATGTGAGCACATGCGGGTGGCCTCGGACACAGCACAGGGCAGGACAGAAGGGGTAACAGGGGGCATGTGCGTGTCATGGAAGACAGCCAAAGAGGGCGGTGCAGTCTGAGCCGGTCACAAGCCCCATGGGCAGGGGAATCACCCTGAGAAAGTTGGGGGGGCACTTCCTGCACTGGCAGTGTACAAACAGGGAGCACGTGTGCATGCACGGTGCACTGAAGGGCACCTGCTGCGGCGCGCCTCAATTGGCCCAGCGCGACAACGCAGACACAGTGGCAGGTGGCCATTGTGAAGACCTTGGCCGGCAGGGCCAACGCCTTTCCTTGTCTTGCCCCTTGTTCGCCCATGCGAGACCTGACCTTTTGTGCCCAATACCCTTGCTTGCGCAGGCCCCTGCAACTATCCCGCCAATGCCTACAGCAACAAGCGGTGGTGCTGCGGCGACCAGCGCCACATGGTGAGCCAGTTGCGGGCATTGCAATGCACGCATGTAGGCAGCTAGGGTCCGGGACAGACAACAGATATCCTATCAACATTGCTAAGCTGCGGGCCCTTGCAAACCTCAAGGCACCCAGGACGATGGCTCAACACTGTGTCTTGCCTCGACGGTTCCCCGCGTTCATATGACATGGTCACAGGGGGACAGTCCCCCTATCCCTCCTGCCAGGCCTGCTGCAAACCCCACCCCACCCACCCCACCATCAACCCATTCCCACGTGCAGGATCTGTCCTACACCGCCTTCAGGAAGCTGACCAGCGAGGGCAACGGCGTCATCGCCGTCAAGTGGCGCCGCGTCGCCTGCCCCGCCGGGTCGCCCACCAAGCCCAAGTGCAACCACCTTTCCTCCTGCTTCAACACTGACTCGTGGACCGACAGCTCCAGCAGCAGCAGCTCCAGCTCCAGCAGCAGCAGTAGCAGTAGCAGCAGCAGCAGTAGCAGTAGCAGCAGCAGTGGCAGCTGGGTGTGGGATGAGGGCAGCAAGACCTCCAAGTGGGTCAACGGACAGAACAGCGGCGCCTCCGCATCAGCCCAGGCCTCCAGCAGCGGCGGCGGCTCGTCGTCTTCCTCCGCCTCCTCCTCATCCGGCGGCGGCTTCTGGGGCTGGGACAGCAAGATCGGCAAGTCCATCTGGGTTAACAGCGGGTCGAGCGGCGGCGGCGGCGGCAGCAGCAGCGGCGGCAGCGGCGGCGGCTTCTGGGGCTGGGACTACTCCGCAGGCAAGTCCAAGTGGATGGACGGCTCGATGTTTGGCTCTCACAATCGCCGGCACCTCCTGGGCTTCAGGGGCCCCGCTGGCCGTGCCGCATGAGCGGCCAGCACCGCCGCGTCACGGCGTTGCGCCTCCCCAAAGCGCCGCACACCCCGTGGTGGATGGGTGCGTGGCGGACGGCCCCTTTGAAGCATGGGTGATGATCAGAACCCCTGGTATTAATTGAGGCCTTTCAATTTTCGTCCTGTCTGGTTATTCTGGATCATCTTGCATATTGCACTCAGGCTAGCGCATTGAGAATGCACTGGCGCAAATCGCCTAGATCAGGCCATCAGTCATGTAGCCTGCCTCCACCCGAACCGCGCCCTCAAAAAGTCATTTGTGGCTCACATCTGCTGTGTCATTTACTGCTGTGTGGGAGATATGAATGCTTTTTCTGCACGTATCGTGTGAGTATTCTGCACCCGCGCACTTGCTTTAGCGGTTCAGTGGCGAAACTGTCCATAAGAGGCGGCCGCAACTGTGTAGCATGGCCATCTTTTTTGGCTGGGGCTTGTCCGCGTGCGGCTGGAGTGGCCAAAACATCAAATTGCCCTCTGGCAAATACAGTCTCAACAGGGTGTGGGCTTTGTCACCCAGGGTTGAGATTGGCCAGTGCATAACAACACGCACCGATGTGCTCCGTCATCCAACACAACCTGCCCTTGCGTATGCTTTGCCGCCAATTCGCGCAACAGCTTTTCAAAGCAGTGGATGCTTCCAGTCGTGCTGGCCAGGACACACAGTTTGAACTGGCAGACAGTGGCCCGCTCACTGTGCGATCCTGCTCAGGCTGCATGGTGCACATTTGAGTATTTCGCCTGCCTTGATCATATTGTTGTTAGTTCTTCCGCCTGCAGGCCTTGATTTGCTGCATGGTATCCCCAGGTGTTGCCCCTCCGCCCGCTCGCCCGCCCCATCGATGATTCGCGCCACCCCCAGGATCTGCTGCGTGCAGGAGATACTGTTTGCCCTGCTCAGGACCACCCTTGCACCCCTCCACCCCGGATCCTGAGATATTGCACGCGCTAGGCTAGCCGCAGTGTAGCCTTGCACTCCACGCACCACATGTAATTCAGTTGTTTGCGTCCAGAACGCACCTCAAGTGAGCGTGGCGGGTCTGAATGCAGTGTGGAAACACATGGACCAGCCTTTCTAGCCAGCAAATCAGGGTTCAAAACTGCTATGCTTGCGGGATGTGAAGCCCCTGCCACATGGGCAACCGTCCCCTTGACCCCTTTTGGTGTCTTTGCATAAACCCCCTGAGCAAAGCCCCCTCGCATGTGCCCGCACTTTGCGCATTACAAGCCAGCCTGAATTACATGGGGGGGCAGAAAATATACACCGCGGCCGGCAAGAGCGGGACACTCACAGGGACTACGTTGAGGAATCCTTGAGAAAGTATTCTATAGCCGCTGCCACGAGTCAGCTCGCTTCATCAGTCATCGTCAATGATGATACACCCGTCGCTGTCCTCGTGACACATCAGCCGCACCGCCGCCGCCCTCGCCGCAGCTGCCGATGCCTCCGCACCCTGTTGACGCGAGAACTTGGCCATGACCGCCGTCACTTCTGCATCGCTGCTGTCAGCACTGCCACCAACATCCTGCCGCACCTGCTGCTGGTCCTTCACGTCCTGTTGCTGCCGCGCTTGCACCCGTTGCTGCCGCTGCTGCCGCCGCCGTCGCTGCTGCTCGTGCGGCTGCGGCTGCTGCTGCTCCTCCGCCTGCTGCTGCGGCAGCGGCAGCGTTTGCCGCGATTGTTGCCGTTCATGCTCCCCATGCTGCTGCTGCTGGCCATGACAAGGCTGCTGCTGCTGCTGCTGCTGCTGCTGTTGCTGCTGCTGCTGCTGGCCCTGCGGCGGCGCAGGCTGCGGCGGAGGCGGCTGCTGCCCACTGAGCAGAGCTTGCGCGTCCGACGGCCCCGCGCCATCACCCCGTTGCCCGGAGACCGCCTTGCCTTCGCCCGCCCCTGACCCTGCCGCGGCGCCCTTGCTGCCCGGGCCCGCGCCCGCCGACGACGCGAGGCGCGCCAGCGTGCTGGGCACCTCCTGCATATCCACAATGTCTTCGTCGCCGTCGCCCGGCGGCGCCACGGGCGGCGCGCCGGCCGAAAAGATGGAAGGCACGGCGCCCGCCATCTCTGGCATCGCCGACACCGCGGCCTGCACTCGGTCCACGCACGCCTGCAGCACGCGCGCCAGCAGCGGCACCCCTCGGTCGGTGCGCGAGCGCACGGCCAGACGGCCTGGCGCGCCCGCGGCCGCCGGGCAGGTGTGGCAGCCGCCGGCGCCGCCGTTTGTGGGGCCGGCGGCGGCGCCTGCACTGCAAGACGCAGTCGGGGCCGGAAACGCCAAGCCGGCTGCTGTCGCCGCCGCTGCTGAGTCTCCGTTTGCTGATGCAGATGGCCCCGGCCCGCCGGCGCTGCTGACGAGCTGCCCCACGACCTGCGCTTGCTGCTGCTGTTCGCCGCCGCCAATGGCCTGCGCCCACGCTTCCAGATCAGACACACAGCCGCCTGCAGGCGCGCGTGCGCAGCGATGGCAGGAGTGCCGGCACCAGCGCCGGTGGTGAGGCACAGCCAGTCTCACCCACCGCTTACGGCGCCCAGCCTCCCGCAGCTCTGCAGGCGGGCAGACCTAAAACCGCGCCCAGCACACGCGGCTGGCCCCGGGCCAGGGCGCGTGCGCCCGCCGCCACCGTGTCCCTGCCTGCCACCCCAACGCGGCCCCTTACCAGCAAAGCCTTCAAAAAAGGCGCGCGTCCCGGGCCCCGGGTACCACTGGCGCACGCAGCGCAGCTCAAGCGTCATGAGCGCCACCAGCGGCCCCTTGACCGACGGCTCCCCAAACAGCACCTCCCCGGAGCAGGCCGCATTGAGCTGCGGCGGACGCGGCCGGGACGGGGTGGGCATAGCAAGGGGCGGCCGCGGATGAGTAGTCGAGCAGACCGACGTCAGCGGGGCCGCCCCAGGCGCGTCACTCCACCGCGTGAGCAGACCGGGCCGCTCAGTCGGCCCTGCTGACGTTCCCCGCGCCTTTGGCTCCTCTTGCCCCAATTGCGCGTGCCCGGGCACCAAGGGCCCACCTTGTCCAGCACGATGGACCCCTTGAAGCGCTCCCTGAGCCGCTCCTCCGAGAGGTTGACCAGCGGCTGCGGGCGCTCCTGGTTGGCCGCGCGCTCCCGCTCCGCCAGGCTCGCCTCCATGGCCTGTCACAGTTGAGTGGCGAACAGAGGATGAGATGATGCGGCTGCCCGCGCGTGTGCGTGCATGTGCCCATGCATGCATGTCCGCAGGCGCATGTATCGGGAGGAGGCGCACGCATACTTGTGCGGGGTAGAAGAGGGCTTGAGGGGTGCATCACACAATTGTTGCGACCGCATGTGAGGGGGGCATGCGGGCAGGCCGATGCTCGACGCGGTGCTGCCTCGAGACGCTGCCGTCGCCGCTGCTGCGGCCAGGGACCCCTGGGTGCTGCCGGTCCGCCCTCCCTCCTCGCTTTGGCAACCCCCTCTAGCCTTCAACACCCTGCCCCCGACCCCCAGAAAAGGGAGCCCACCAGCCGCAGCTTGTCTGCCTCCTCGTCATTCTCGTGCTTGTTGGCGACCCACATCAGCGCCTCGTCCATCCACCTTCCCATAGCGAAGTAACAGAAGAGCAAAGCAGCGTTGGCGCCAGCTAGCGCCGCGCACGCGCACGTGCCCGCGCAGCGGGGGGGGGGGGGGGGTCGACGCCAGCTCATGCGTGCGCGAGAGGCCGCGGCCCTGCCATGCGTGGGCGCAGCCGCCTGCAGTCACCGGGCTGCGGGTCTCTCCTTTCCTCATGGTCTCGCCCAAACCCCCGGCCCAGCGCAAGGCCCGCGCCGCCGCACCTGTTCCAGTCCTGCCAGTGCTCCGCGGTGGCCAGCAGGCACTCCTCCGCGTCCCCCGCCCCCATGCCCGTCGCCTGCGACACGTGGGCCACCGCGCCGGCGAGCCTGTCCGGCGGCAGGCCGTGCTGCAGCTGCCCGGCGGCCGCCTTGCCCTTGCGAAGGGTCGCCGCCTCGCGGGCCGCGTCCGCAAGCTCCTGCTGCTCGTCGGCGTCGTCACCGTTGTCGCTGCCCTCCTCGCTGCTGCAGCCGCGGGGCCGCTGGGGCGGTGGCGCGGCAGCCAGGCGCCCGTGGTGGCCCCTGCGGCGCTGCGCCGGGGGCTCTGGCGAGTGGTCCGAGCGGCCGGGGGAGGGGCGCTCGGGCTTGCGGCGGCGCCCGTGGGCAGGGCTGGCGGCAGGACGGTGCAGTTGCGGGTGGGGCGGGTGCGCCTGCTGATGGCCGCTGCGGGGTCCTTTCCGGTGCTTGCTGGGGCTGGAGGTGCTGCAGCGGAGGACCTCCGTGCCCAGCCCTGAGGGATGTGCATGAAAGAGCAGTTGAGAGTGGCGAGGCATTGGTGGCAGCAGCACGGTGACAGGCCGGCACCAGGCGCAGCACGCGCTGCACGAGGGTGCAAAGCACGGGACGCGCATGCAGTTGCCATGTCGCATCACCTTGGTCGGAGGCTCTTCGACGCTCCATTCTGTGCCTCTTCAATCGCTTTGTTACTGCAGAGCCTAGCAGAGACGCACCAGGCTCGTCAGGACGTCACCCTGCCGAGGACGCAGCGCAACAATAAGACGAAAGTGCAAGGTATACATAGGACATGCGTGGGCCGCCCTTGCTGAGGGTAGTGATCACACACGTAGATCTGCGGTACGGTATTGGCGGGCAGCCCACGAGGTCACTGCGTAACTCCGGTTTGCGAGGAGGAGATGATGGCGGTCGGTCCCATTGACAGCTTGCAGCCGCGCTCTGCACGAGCCACAGCAATTCACAGGACGGCATGTACCTCGCGGTTGATTTAACGGCGGTCCGCGCAAGCAGACGCTTCGCCGACACTCCTCCCACAGTTGACACACACCCGGCAATTACAATGTGTCCTATGGCTACATGTCGGTCACGGTTAGTCACGATGTGGTGCACCACGCAGCTGTTGCGACGGTTCGCAGGTGCTTGTGCGCGAGCGGGACAATGTGAGTTGGTTGCATGTCAGGTTAGTCATTGTCGTTCGCTGGGACGCTCGCGTACATGGCAGAAAGCACGGACCGCGTAACGAAAGTAAGAGAAAAAGGGGGCGAGTTGGCGCGGGCTGCTGCGCAAAGGGCGCCGGAGGCGCTCAAAAAACATTGCGGCATTGAAAGCGTAGCTGTCTGATGGGCTCCACGAGCCGGTCAAACCCGCGCACGCATCAGTCGAGCCAGCCCCATCCCCGAAAACGCGAGCGCGCCTGGGATGACATAAAGCAAGCAGTGAATGGCACAGATCAGGCAAGGCGCATCCGCTGCGCCTCCAGGGGCGCGCGCCACGAATCAGTGGCGCGCTTTGAAAGAATAAACGCAGGGGCCGTGGGGATCCAGGGGAGGTGGCAAAGCACGTGTCACCGCACGCAACGTGACCAGGGAGCTGCCACCTGTGCCCTCGTTGCCATGGCACCTACACGCCACCCTGACAAGCTTCAACAGCAGGCAGCGGGGCCCTGGTGCGCGTACTCGTGCTTGAGCCTTGCACCACCTCCGCCTTGCAACCCACAAACAGCCCCAGCGCCACAACGCAGGCACCTCGGCGCCTTCAGCGCACACGGCAAAGAAATCACCCCGCCGCGCCGCGCTCCGCTTTCCGTCCGGCCACGCGGCCGAGCAGATGCGGCGCCGGCGCACCGCTGCGCGGGCGCGCGCTGCGTGCGCGGCCGAGCCCCCCGCCGGCCGCGCGGCCCGTCAGGCCCCGCCCTGCCCGGCGGCCCCAGCAACCTCATCCAGGATGTCTGCCGGCGCCGCCACTGCCGAGGCCTCGCAAAACTTGGCTGTCGAGTACTTTTTGCGCACTGCCTGCAGGCTGCCGCAGCCCGCCGCCAGCAGGAGCCGCACGACGTGCTGGGCAGCCTCCAGGGCGCCGTCGCGGGGGACGCGCGCGTGGCGCGCCAGGGCTTGAGGGTAGGGGTCGGCCTGGAGCCGGGGGTCGGCGGTGGCCGTGGGGGAGGGGTGAGCTGGGGTGGCGTGGGGTGGAGTGGCGGCGGCCCCCCCTGCGATTTGCCTCGATAGATCAAAGTCCGCCCGCGGAGCTGCCAAGCCCGGGGCTCCTCGAAAACCCCTCCTCTCCGCGCTCACCCCGTCCCCCCTTCTCCCGGGGCAGGCGGCCGCGCGCGGCGGCCGTACGCGCGTGCGTGCGCGCGGTCGCAGCCCCGCCGCACCTTGCCGAAGGCGCGCATTGCGACGTACATGATGGCTGCCGCGACCTCTGTGCTGCTGAAGCGCAGGCAGGAGTAGTCCACGAGGCAGAGCTCCGCGCAGTAGGCCACGAACAGCGCCAGGGGCTTCTCGTAGTGCACGCCGGCCGCCTTGAGCAGCCGCGCCAGGTATTGGTAGCTGGGGGGGGAGTGCAGGTGTGGTGTGGTGTGGTGTGGTGTGGTGTCAGAGTGTTTGTGTGTGCGCACGCATGTGTGCGCATGCCTTGAAATGTGGGGATGAGTGTGTGTGTGTGTGTGT